CAGACTTACGGATACACAGACCGCCGGAGGGCTGCTTGGCGGCGGCGGTCGGCTCAACGTCTCTCGCTCCCGCCGCTAGTCCGCAGCCGCTGTTTCTAGGCGCCGCCCGCCCCGCCTCCTGCGCTTCCCCGGGCTTCGGGCACGCAGTGTGGGACGCAAATCTTGTCAGTCTCGGCGCTTCGCCAGCCTCCACCAGGAAGCCGGCGGCCCCCGCCTGCCGCTTATCTCCGAGAAGCTTCCCGGACAAACCGCCCCGTTAACTCATTCAAGAAGCCCCGCCATCCCACCTTTTACAAGTACCAGGCCTTGAGCTGGACGCTGGCTGCGGGGGTGGGGTGGGATGGGGGGCGGACACACGACCTGAGGGGTCCTGACCAGAGCCTCGCACGCGCCCGGAACTGGGGGGTGTCTGGCCATCCAGGCCCGAGGACCCTCGCTCTTAGGTGGCTGGGAAAGGAGGGCGTAGGCTGGCTTCTCTCCCGCCTTCCTTCCCCAGCGCGACCTTTCAGCCTCTGGGCCTTTGCAGCTGCTGGCTGTTCCCCCAGACTGCGGAGGAAGAGTGTCCGTTCCTGCCTGGGCTTGGGTGGCGATGCGTTTGGCAGATGCGTTTGTAGGTGAGTTCCCAGCAGAGAGAGGAGTCGCTGGACTGGAGTACCAGCCATAATACTTTAAGGTAGATTTGGCCAAACTGGCTTCAGTGACAGCGCCTGCCCTCACTTCCCCACCACAGGTGCTTTTGGACTGTCTAGTGAAATGGATGCGCCCCATGACTCCGACCTCCCCTTGGATCAGGGCGGGGCGTCCTGGCCTGCAGGGTGTCATTCATCTTCCCGCCAACTGCTCATTTACAGCATCGCCGTTTCTATTCTGGCTGGGTTTTCCCACTAGAGCATTGGCTCTTTATCACTGATTCGTGAGAGAGCTCTGTACAGAAGTCCTCTCTGTCGATGCGTTGACGCCCTCACAGGCACGTGTTTAGGAAGCCCTGGGGAGGCTGTGGCCAGCTTGGGCGAGGGGGCCTCAGGCCCCAGGCCTGGTCCGCCCCCAGGTGTTAACAGAGGGACACAGATTGTGAGCGGCCCGTCCTGCCCGGTGCTTAAGCTCTGCGACCCGGCACTCAGAGGATGCGTGCGGAAGCCGTGACTGAACCAGGCCCGCGTGCCAACCCGGGGCTCCGCTCACAGCAGAGGACGTGAACGCGCCCTCCCGCCCGCAGGCCGCGGGAACCGCGGTGGGAGAACCCTAGAGCCAGCCGGCGGGGCCGGGGCGGGCCCGGAGGAAGTGCGCCTAGCGCAAGGCATTCTGGATCCGGAAGTGGGGCGCACGCTGCGGGTTGGCAATCATGGCAGCGGCGCGGGGCAGCAAGCGGTAAGTTTATATTCCGGGGGCCAAAGGGGCCTCCCTCCCGGTCAGTGCTCGTATCCAAAGGGGATACCCTTGCGCCTCTCCGAGTTCCTGGGGCAGCGAGGCTCGGGCACCCCGGGCGGGCGGGGAGTCGTGACTGACGTCGTGACCCGCAGGCGCCTGGCCGAGCTGACGGTGGACGAGTTCCTGGCCTCAGGCTTTGATTCCGAGTCTGAATCCGAGCCCGAAGGGGCCCCCGAGGCGGGGACGCGGGCGGCTCCCGGCAGCGCGCGGAGCACGGTCGGGCCAGGAGGGAACACCTCGGCCAGGTGAGCGGAGCGTCTTCCACGGAACGTGTGTAAGCAAAACCCTCTTCTTGTCCCTGACCCACCCCATCAGAAGGATGCCGATCTCTCCTTGGGCCTCAGGGTTGAGGCCTGGGGACCTTTGACACGCCCACCCCCCGCCCCGCCCGACCCCCGACGCTTCGGCCTGTTCGCTTTTTCGTTCTGTATTTACTGAGCACTTGCTCTGTGCCACAGTCTCGTTTTTAGGTGGTGGGCATAGGTTGGTGAGTGATGTAATGGTTCCTTTCTGGCCTAGAAAACTCGGTCTTGAGTAAACCACGAAGTGTCGTCTGCCAGAAGAAATAAGTGCTGTGGGTGGAAAAGAAGAATAGGAGGGGCCGGAGGAATAGAGCGTAGCACGGGCATTTGTGGCCATATGAAGTGGAGTAGAGAAGGTGATTGTTGAGCAGGCACCTGAGGGAGCAAGCCTTGCCGGCAGCAGGGGAGAGCGTTCTGCTGTTTAAAGTGGCAGGAACAGCAAAGGCTTCGCAGTGGGAGCTGGCCTTACCTAGAGTGAGTGTGGCTGTGGCAGAAGGAGTGAGGGGAACAGTAGCAGGAAATGAACCTGGAGAAACGATGATAGGGTTGGCTACAACATATTCTAGTAACGATCTTGTGTAACAAAAGGCCACTTGAGTTGCAATGTTGAGAATAGGTTGTAGGCAGTGGTGGGGATAAGGAGAGATGTTATGGTAATTAAGAGAATTGAGAGAAGGCATGATGAGTTTTCAAGATATTGCTGGGGAGAGCTCATGGCGGGTTGCATGATGAGTATAAGAAACAGGTTTGACTTTCAACTAAGTACCTGGAAAACTAGAGTTACCATCCACTGACTTAGATAGAGCAGGGTGCAGGCAGAACAAGTCCAGGGGAACCACAAGTTCAGTGTTGTACATGTTCGTTTTGAAGAGCAGCAGTTAGAACATGTGCACAAGGAGGCGGATGGGTGTGAGTCTGGACTTGGGGGGAGAGGGGGAGTCACTGAAAACCTGCCCTCTGTAGCTGTTGCGGAGGGAGCGGACTAGGCCCTGTATCTCCTCTGAGGAGGCTGGCAAGCTGGCCATGTGGTGGGTGGAAGCCTCACCCCCACGCCCACTCCCTTCTGCTCTGCCTGTCCCTTGGAATTGATGACCCCCACCTTAAGGAGTGAGGGGAACAGTAGCAGGAAATGAACCTGGAGAAACGATGATAGGGTTGGCTACAACATATTCTAGTAACGATCTTGTGTAACAAAAGGCCACTTGAGTTGCAATGTTGAGAATAGGTTGTAGGCAGTGGTGGGGATAAGGAGAGATGTTATGGTAATTAAGAGAATTGAGAGAAGGCATGATGAGTTTTCAAGATATTGCTGGGGAGAGCTCATGGCGGGTTGCATGATGAGTATAAGAAACAGGTTTGACTTTCAACTAAGTACCTGGAAAACTAGAGCCATCCACTGACTTAGATAGAGCAGGGTGCAGGCAGAACAAGTCCAGGGGAACCACAAGTTCAGTGTTGTACATGTTCGTTTTGAAGAGCAGCAGTTAGAACATGTGCACAAGGAGGCTGTCGGATGTGAGTCTGGACTTGGGGGGAGAGGGGGAGTCACTGAAAACCTGCCCTCTGTAGCTGTTGCGGAGGGAGCGGACTAGGCCCTGTATCTCCTCTGAGGAGGCTGGCAAGCTGGCCATGTGGTGGGTGGAAGCCTCACCCCCACGCCCACTCCCTTCTGCTCTGCCTGTCCCTTGGAATTGATGACCCCCACCTTCCCAGCTGTCGTAAAGGCCGCGCATCAGAGCACAAGGACCAGCTTTCTCGGCTGAAGGACAGAGACCCTGAGTTCTACAAGTTCCTGCAGGAGAACGACCAGAGCCTGCTGGACTTCAGTGACTCGGACAGCTCCGAGGATGAGCAGGAGCAGTGCCACTCCCTGCCCAGCACGCTGGAAGTGAGGACAGGGCCGAGCTGGCGGGACAGGGGACACGGTCGTGACCTCTGCATCCCACTGTAGCCTGTCCCTCTGTGTGGTACAGGAAGCAAGTGAGGAGGAAGACGACGACCAGGATGGTGTCTCCAGGGGCCAGACGGGGAAGAGGAGGGCTTCCGCGCCCGTGACCCTCGCCATGGTTGAGAGGTGGAAGCAGGCGGCAAAAGTGAGACATGGCCTGGACGGGCAGCTGTCCACGCCTCCCTCTGGGACTCTGCCCTTGCCTTGGCCCAGGTTTCTGGGGCCGTGCCAGGGGCTCCAGGACCACGTCAGCCTGCAGTCAGAGATCTTAAGGGCTCTGCCTGCCTACTGCTCTCAATTTGTCTCTCGGACTCTTTGCTCCCCAAGTCCATTGTGGGCAGGCTGTGGCCTCTGTGCCTTGGCTAGGTGGTGGAGCCAGGTCTCTTCTTCCAGGGCTCCTGCAGTGGTTTCTGCAGGGAAAGGCAGGGACAGAAAGGGAGAACTCCAGGTGCTACCCAGAGCTGGCCATCGTCCAGATCTGGGACCCCCAGCACCTCCCCATGGTCCCTGAGGTGGAGTACCTGCCTTCCCAGGATTCTGGACTCTGTCTTGGTTCCCAGCACATGGTTCCGTAATACTGTCCCCACTTGGATCCGTTCCTGAGAGTGTGGGTGGGATACGGCCTCTGTTGCAGAATAGGTCGTGGGGCCCTGGCTGGCCCCCGAGCAGCACACCAACCACTCCCCGGCATCCTTCCCCTCCAGCAGCACCCCACTCTGAAGCTGTTTCACGAAGTCGTGCAGGCCTTCCGAGCAGCCGTGGCCACCACCCGAGGAGACCAGGAAGGTGCCGAGGCCAGCAAATTCCAGGTCACGGACAGTGCCGGTGAGCTGGGGTGAAGGGATCTGGGATGCGATGTTTTTGTCCCATATTCTGTCCTGTGAATGACACCTGTGGTCCCCATGTTGCAGTGTTCAATGCTCTTGTCACCTTCTGCGTCAGAGACCTCTTTGGCTGCCTCCACAAGCTGCTATTTGGAAGCGCCCCAAAAGACAGTAGCAGGTGAGAGGGGAGAGGATGGATGGGGTGTGTTCAGGGTCCTGAATTGGGGGAGGCCCGCCTTTTTTTCTTCCTCCTTCCTTGCCAAGAAGAGTGGTTCTCTGCCCAGAATTTCTCAGGCTTCAGCATATGCACAGCTTCCCCCGACTTTCCCTGGTCAGATTGGTCTCTCTCCCCCCGCACCCCCTCTTTGGGTGAATAAGTCTCGTCCACTCTCCTTGCTCTTTGCTCTGTGGCTGATGGGTGTGTGTCTAGGCTGGGGCCTCGTTCATGCTGAATTCGAGAACCTTAACTCCCCCCTTAGAGGATTGAGCAGAGAAGGCTGTGGAAGGCTTCGGGGGTGGGGGTGGGGGGGAACTCGGAAGGGCACGAGTTCCCCTGGGGCTCAGAGGACGGAGCAGCCACATGACCTGGAGGTAGTAAGGGTCTTGGAGGGCCCAACTCAGCTCAGACACCTTTCGGGGGCAGAAAGAGGTCTCCAGGGAAGGGTCCTGCTGTTTCCTCTGAAGGGGAGGTGGGGAGGTGGTGGAACTCAGATAGGAGTCGCTGGGCCTGGTGGGCCCGGTCAGGGCTGGACTGATGGCTCCGGGGTCGGCTGTGTGGAGGCAGCCTTGTCTGCTGGGGACCGGCAGTGAGCGAGTGGGCAGCAAGTGCGGTGCTGTGGTTTGTCCTCGGCGGGGAAGGGGCCACTGCACTGGGCCAAGCGGTTGCCATGCAGGGCAACGGCTTTTGGTGGAGAGCGCCACCTTCTGGGGCAGGGCGAGCTGGCTGCGGGAGCCCTGTCCCTTGTCCCTGGCATGGCACCCACTCACTGTGTGCTGACCTCTTTGAATGCTGAGTGGCTGAGCCTTTGAGAAACTTTAGTAAAGTTGGTCATCGTTGCCAAGTCATTCAAGTTTTTTAAAAAGGGTAGAGTCTGGACTTCTTGGTAGAACTAAGTTGTAAGTGTGGGTGACTGGGTTTTTTTAAAGCACGTATGGGCCAAAGAAAACCAACTTGCAGTGCTGGTTAGCGATGCGTGGCCTAGACCTCGGGGGCCCTTAAGTGCCGACTGCAGGGTGTGGGTGTCCTCTGGGGACTCTTGGCGCAGTGGCTGGCCCTGGGCTCATGCATGGGGCACAGTTGCTCTCGGCCCTCAGGCCATCTGCGGTGGCCTGTGGGAGGGCCTGGTGCCCCTCAGTTGTTGGTCTGGGCCACTCTTGAGCGGGTTCCTTGTGTGTCCCCAACATCAGTCCAGCTGTAAGGGGATCCTGAGCTTTTTGTAGGGTGAGCTGGAGGGATCTCCCCCAGGGCCCATGTCTCTGGTGTCCTGGAGACCGTACGTGGATGGAACGTGGCTCGGCACGCGCTCCTGCCTCCCAGCAGCCTTGCGTGCCGGCCTTGGGGTGTCCCAGCTGCAGGGCTCACGGAGTGCTGTGCTCTCTTTGCAGGGCGCTGCCGCCGTCCAGCAGCCCGCTGTGGGGGAAGCTCCGGCAAGATGTCAAGGCTTACCTGAGCTCGGTCATACAGGTGCAGGGCCGGCGGGGAGGGTCTGCTGCTTCCCATGGGGCCTGGCCACGTCCGGTCCGGTCCTCCTTTGTATCCAGACGTGAGTGGTCGCAGGCCTCACTGACCTCTCCTGCTTCCCCAGCTGGTGGCCTGTGTGGCGGAGGCGACAGTGGCGGCAGCCCTCCTTCAGCACGTGGGCAGCGCTGTGCCCTACTTCCTGACCTTCCCCAAGCAGTGCCGCATGCTGCTCAAGGTGTGTTGGCCCGCGGCTGCCCTCACGCCCCACCCCTGCCGGCTTTGTGTCTTGGGCAGCACAGCCCAGTGAGATGAGGACAGGCTCCAGGCTCGGGCTGTCACTGGCAGGGCCCCCAGGAGCCTCTGGCCGGACAGGCAGTGATGTCCCGCTCTTTGCAGAGGATGGTGGCCCTGTGGAGCACGGGTGAGGAGTCACTTCGGGTGCTGGCCTTCCTGGTCCTCGTCAGAGTCTGCCGGCACAAGAAGGATGCCTTCCTGAGCCCTGTTCTCAAGGTGGGGGTTGGGTGGCTCCTGCTCGTGGTGCCCCGAGACGGTGTCCCTCAGGGCTCAGGGTCTGGGTTGACAGTCTTGGCCTGAGGGCTGGGCAGGCTGCCTTCATGGTCAGCACCGCTCCCCGGCACTGTGGCTCCAGGCAGACCCAGGCCTCCACCACTGTCTCCTCCTTGGAAGTAGGGACGGTGACAGAACCCTTAGCCTCCCAGCTCTTGGTGGGTGAGGACATCAGGTGTGGAGAGGGCCAGGGACCCTGCTGCCCGGTTCCAAGCCTGGGTGGCCTGGCCTGCATGGGGACCCTCTGGCCCCCCTGCGTAGGCCTGGCACGCAGCAGGTCCTCCCTCCTGGAGCCTCCGTGCGCTCCCTGCCAGTCCCTGTAGTCCCTGCTGAGGCTCGCCCCTCCCCTGGCACCAGCCCCCTCCCCTCTGCACCACAGCCTCTGCCCGAGGTTGGTGGGCACACATGGAGGCTGAGCAGCAACGGGGCCCAGCAGCAGGTGTGGGCAGGGGGTCTACAGAGGCAGCTCCGTGGGAAAGGCCCAGGTGCCTGGCGGTGGGTCCGGCCTGGGAGCTCATAACAGCCGGCTGTGCCTGTCTCCGTGGCAGCAAATGTACGTCACATACGTGAGGAACTGCAAGTTCACCTCCCCCAGCGCCCTGCCCCTCATCAGCTTCATGCAGCGGACCCTGACTGAGCTGCTGGCCCTGGACACCAGCGTCGCCTACCAGCATGCCTTCCTCTACATCCGCCAGCTTGCCATCCACCTGCGCAATGCCATGACCACTCGCAAGAAGGTGTGTGGCCACGCCCGGGGCCCAGACCCAGCCAAGGGCCTGGCCTCCTGGAAGAGACAGCCCAGCACATGGGGGTCAGGGTCCTTGCTGGGGGAGATGTAGGGGGTGGGGGAGGGCACGGTGCTGCTGCCCGCTGGGACCCTGTACACCATGGGTGAGGAGGGCTAGGCCCTCCCAGGACCCTGGGGCTGACCAGGAGGTGGAATCTGCCCAGGAGACCTACCAGTCGGTGTACAACTGGCAGTTCGTGCATTGCCTCCACCTGTGGTGCCGCGTGCTCAGCACTATCTGCCCCAGCGGAGCCCTCCGGCCCTTGATCTACCCCCTCTCCCAAGTTGTCATCGGCTGCATCAAGTGAGTCAGGGACGGGCAGGGTGGCCCCCGAGGACTGAAGGCCAGAGACAAGGTTGCAGGAAGTCAGGGTAGGGTCAGGGTTACAGAGGGGCATCCTGGAGGGCCGGGAGGATCTGGCTAGTCATCCCCGCTGTGGTCTGGGTCTCCGGGGTCTGTGACTTGGAAACTCCAGCTGTGACTTGGAAACCTCTGCTGAAGGGCTGGAGCCAGGCTGTCTGCAGCCTCACGCCCAGCCTGGGAGAACACTCTACTCTGCTCGTAGCCATTGGGGCTTCGCGGTTACCTGTGATGCGAGCTCCTCCTTAGCGCCTTAGTCCAGGATCTAGCATAAGTGTGCTTCTGGGGGGTGCAGGCAGCGGCGCCGTGTGCAGTTTGAAGGGAATTCAGGCTTATTAAGCAGGGTGTCTTTGGACAGAGCAGGTCTGGTGTGTGTCACGTCTTGGGGATGAGTATTCGTTTAGCTGTGGTCTTGGTCAGGGGATGGGGGAGCTGCACGTGGCCTTGTGGCTGTTGGCCAGGAGGGGGCACCCTGTGCACCCCTGTTCTCCTGAAGGGGGAGCCCTGAAAAGAAGGAATGAATGACCCCCACGCAGCCCCCGGGCGAGCATGCATTCCGGTGGGTGTCCCCACACTCTGACAACAGGCGGGTCTTTAAGGCCAGGCCTTCCCGCCCGTTCTAGCCAGGGAATCTGAGGGGGCAGGTGCGACCTCTGACCCTGACAGAATGACAGGGAGGGCCCCTGCTGAGGACAGGGCTCCATGGAGGGGTCGGGGCAGCTGGCCGGGAGGGCGAGGCCTCTGCCTGTGCTCACTCCATCTTCCACGCCTCAGGCTGGTCCCCACCGCACGCTTCTACCCGCTGCGCATGCACTGCGTGCGCGCCCTGACCCTGCTCTCGGAGAGCACCGGCGCCTTCGTCCCCGTGCTGCCCTTCATCCTGGAGGTGAGTGGGCTGCGGCCGCTGCTGCCCCAGGCTGGCCAGGTGTCTCTCCTGAGCGCTGGCGTTTCACCTGGGGGACACAGGCATGAGGATGGCACCTTGCTACCTGCCCAGGCTGGTGGACCATGGTAGTCGGCAAGAGCAGCGGTGAGGTTGAGGGTGGCTGCGCCACAGGGCGGGCCTGCGGGTGCCGGTTCTAAGGCACAGACTTGGGTCTGTCTGGGCATTTGCCCAAGGTCAGGGTGGGCAGGAGAGCTGTGCCGAAGCCCAGGTCTGATTGCAGGGCTGCCACCGGCTCTCTGCGTGCCCCCGTGTGTGTGCATGTGTGCCTGTGTGTCACATGCTAACCACTCCAGTGGGGAAAGGCTGTGGTCCAAAGCCCAGGAACCCAGTACCGGTGAGGCCCCACCCAGCAAATCCTCAGGAAGTCATGCCCCCATTAGGTCTCAGCACCACCCACTGGGCAGCCGGAGTAGTGTCTCAGCGTGGCCAGGGACTGTGGTGCCCCCTTTAGCACATGGGAGAGGGGAGGGAGCCCCAGGAATGTGCTCACTCTGCCTCCCTGAGGCGGGGGCAGTGCAGGCTCATGCTCTTATGAACATCCGCGGGAAAATGCCCCCTCCCCTGTGATCCCTCCCCTGTGATGCCTCTCACCCAGCCGCCAGCATCCCCGCTCTGGGCACCTGCTCTCTGTCCCTCTCTGCCTACAGTCTCCTGTGGACTTTTTCTTGGCCAGCCCACGTACTGACCCTGCCTTACCTTGCCACAGCTGCATCCCACGTGTCCCTCTCACCCACAGGTCCAGGACTCTCCAGAGAAGGCAAACCACAGAGTTAGAAGCCCGGCTCTGGCCGTTCCCTCCCTGGGTGGGGAGTCACACCCCACCCTCAGGCTGAGCCGGGCCAAGCAAAGGGCAGCACCTTCCAGGGAGCCACTGTGTTGTCACTGCCCCCTGTCTGCTTTTCCATACTGTGAACACCCTCCTTGCCCTGGAGTCTCACAGTTAGGCCCAGCCACCCGTCCCCTCGGGATGCACCCTGGGCCACCTCACAGGCTGGGGAGGGTCCCGGCTGAGAGGCCAGGCATGGCTCCCACTCTGCTCCCCAGTTGGCCTTCAGACCTGGGGGAGATCTCCCAGCGGCCAAGGCCAACATAGTGCATGGTCGGTGTCACTGCAGAGGGCGTGGAAGGGGGGCCGCCCAGCCCCTGTCTGAGACCTGTGTTCCTTGGTGTGTTATTCCTGGGGATACAGCCCTGGGGCCGCGGTCATGGGGGAAGATGTAGGAGTCACATTTGCCCTGCTTAGCAGGGACCTGTCTTTATCTCTAGATACTGATTCTTGTGGCTCTGTGCTCGGTTTTTAGAAGCAGATCAGAGCAATGTGTGTCCTTGTGCTTCTGGTCCTGCCCCCGTCGTCCATGGTCCCACTCTGGGACCTAGGGACTCCCTTGGGGGCTACCAGAGCTCTGAAAGGCAAGCAGACTCTTGAGGGCGCCTTTTGGGGCTGCGAGGCTGGCACTGCATCTGGCCCCTTGTCTCTGCCCTCAAGATGGGTCTTCAGGGCTCCAGGGTACAGGCAGAGTGGAACACAGGCTGGGGCAGGGTGCGGTGGGGAGTGAGGTATGGTGGGGGTTGGATATGAGTGGGGTGCAGGGTGCAGATGGGCAGAGTATGCTGGGTGCAGGCCGGGAGTGGGGTACACCGGGCACAGGGGGTGCAGTCTGGGCTGATGGGGCCGTCTCTGCAGGTTTTCCAGCAGGTTGACTTCAACAGGAGGCCGGGACGCATGAGCTCCAAGCCCATCAACTTCGCAGTGATCCTGAAGCTTTCCAAGGTCAACCTGCAGGAGAAGGCTTACCGGGTAAGGCCGGCCTCCAGGCCTCCCAGGGAGGGGCCTAGGGACTGCCCTGCGTGGGGTCACAGCAGATGGCAGAGGGCACTGAGGTCGTAGTGCAGGGTAGCTGGAGGCAGATGAGTGTGTACGGGAGTGTGCAAGGCTGTTCGGAGATCTAAGGCCCAGGGGGTCATGGTCCCTTTGGAGTTCCGGCAGAGACCCTCGTGGGTCTCCCAGGGTGGGGGTGGGACACTCCTTGCCCCCACCCAAAGTGAGCCTGAGTGGCTCCTGGTTCCTGCCCGGGAGAGTGAGCTGACAGGTCATTGGCCTGGATGGAAGTGGTCCCAGGTCCCTTCTCTGGCCCTGAACTCCCCCACTACTGCCCCCTCCCTCTCCCCGCTGCCTCGCCCTCTCCCCCACCCTCTCAGGATGGCCTGGTGGAGCAGCTGTATGACCTCACCCTGGAGTACCTGCACAGCCAGGCCCACAGCATCGCATTCCCCGAGCTGGCCCTCCCCGCCGTCCTGCAGGTACGTGCCTGCTGCCCGGCTCCCCCAGCTCTGCCCAGATCCCTTGGGGCCCATCCTAAGGTCGACTAGATTGTCTTTTAATGAGCCGACTCCCCGTTTACATGTCGGCCAGAAGGAGGCAGCCTTGTCTCAGTCACATGGCCCATAGCAAAACCTCACAGCTCTGTCCTGGCAGCACCTGACAATTGGACCCCAGGGCTGTGTTATAGGGCAAGGGTCCCCAACCCCCAGGCTGCAGACTGCTCTCAGTCCATGGCCTGTTAGGAACCGGGCCGCCCAGCAGGAGGTGAGCGGCGAGCCAGCAAAGCTTCATCTATGTTTGCAACTGCTCCCCAGCACTAGTGTTACCACCTTAGCTCCACCTCAGGTCATCAGGCATTAGATGCTCGTAGGAGCACTGGTCCCTGGTGCCACAAAGGTTGGGGACCGCTACTGCAGGGGATATGAGTGTAGAGGTTTGCAGCTGAGGGGTGGGGCTGGCCTGGGCCACTCAACAAGGACCCCATGACCAGACGGTCCACGAGCTTTTTCCTGGGGGAGTTGGGTCTTAGTGAGCTGTAGCCTCTCAGCCTTGGGTCAGGCTGGTCTCCTGACAGCTCGCGTCCCCAGGTGGTCCTGGGCGTGTGTGAGGACGCAGGGCAGTATTGGAGGTGGGATGGGCATCCTCCATCTCCGAAGCCCCTTTTGGGTTCCCCGTTTGCTTTCAACCTAGTTTCTCATTTCTGGGAGGCCTGTTCCTGCAGGCCCTGGGGACGGACTCAGCCCACCAGTCACAGATCTGCTTGGTGAGGGGGTCTGCCCCCAGCTGCACCTGGCTCAGAGGTTCATCTGGATGCAGTGCAAGTGTGCAAGGCTGTTTGGGGGCTCTAAGGCCCAGGGGTCATGGTCTGGAACAGGGGTCAGTCGGCAAACTGTTTTGGTAAAGAGCCAGGCGATAAGTATTTCAGACTTTGCAGTCATGTGGTTTCACCGCTGCTTAATTCTCCTGTTGAAGCCTCAAACCCCACAGAGTACGGAAACAAGTGTGTGACTGTGCCCATACAGCTTCACTCACGACAGGCTGCCAGGGGTCGGTGCAGCCCCCACCCTACAGGCTTGTGCACCAGGGCCCCCCGCCAACACCCACCCTCCTCTGGTCACGGCGGTTGTCACAGGCCTTGGCGACGACTGGGTGCAGAGCAGCCCTGTGTCTGTTGCCGGGCTGAGCCCCCTTCCTTCTGCAGCTGAAATCCTTCCTCCGGGAGTGCAAGGTGGCCAACTACTGCCGGCAGGTGCGCCAGCTGCTGGAGAAGGTGCAGGACAATGCGGACTACATCTGCAGCCACCGCCAGAGGGCCTCCTTCGGCGTGTCCAGCCTGCAGGCCGTGGTTAGTGTGGAGCTGGCGCCTGAGCCTTGTGGGCAGCACTGCCTGAGGGCACCAGTTGGTGTGTGGCTGGAATTTGGGGGTTTGCCAGGATAGGACGTGACCTCTGATCCTTTCCCACAGGATTCCTGGGAGAAGCAGACCCGAGAGCAGGGGACTCCGCTCACCAAGTACTACAGCCAGTGGCGGAAGCTGAGGGACCGGGAGATCCAGCTAGAGATCAGTGGCAAAGAACGGGTGCGGCTTCGGAACTGGCTGCGGGGACTGGGGCTGTTGGGGAGAGAGCAGGCCTAGGGACATCTGAGGGGTGGTTGGGGACTGCCCGGCTGCGTCTTGTCCTGTTACTGTCACTGCTCTGAGGGATATGGCTGTGCCTTCGATGGCACTTAGTGGCCAGGATGTGGCTGGGGCCTCCTCACCCACCTGGCAGGGTGGCTGTCCAGGAATCCCTCCCACTGATGCGAGCTTTTGACAACGGGGCCCAGCATGGGCTTGCGTGGGGCGGAGAGGGGCATGGGACTGTGGTCAGGGTTCCTGCCGACGTGGTGGTGGCACTGTTGTGGGGTGTGGCCAGGGTGGGCACTCGGGGCTACCTGCCCAGGGTCATCTGCTGCTGTGGTTTCGGGGCCTTCCAGCTGGAAGACGTGGACTTCCCAGAAATAAAGCGGCGGAAGCTGGGAGAGAGGAAGGACGAGGACAGGGTGGAGTTCAAGGACCTCTTTGATCTGGACAGTGATGAGGATGACGCCGGGGACCTCTCAGAGAGAGGTGGGGCCGCGCGCCTCGGCTTGCGCTCGTGGGGGAGGGGCAGGTGGGCCTGCAAGGTGACCCTAGACCTCCAGGAGCCCGGGGGGCCCCCACTTCCACCTCGGCTCCCGTTTGCAGCCCTGTCCCGGCCCCACACGGCCCCTTTTCCACCACTCTGCTTGCTCTGAGGTGGGGCCTCCTGTCCCCTCCGCTTCCCAGGCAGCTCTGACCCTTCTCCACGCGCCAGGCTGTGAGCCTGGCCATCCCCACTCTGCATGTGCTGGTGGGCCTGTGCCCACGGGCTCATCTTGGTCCCCAGGTACACCTGGGTCCCCTGGAACTCCGCAGAGGGAGGAGAATGAGGATGGCAGCAGTGAAGGCCAAGAAGAAGGCAGTGACTCAGAGGGTGAGTGGTCGCTGGGCTGAGGCCCCCCCAGGCTATCATGACTCGGGTAGGATGGCTCGAAGCTGGGCCACACCCCTCTCTGGGATGCCAGGCCAGCTGCTCCGTTCCTGCTGGCTCTGGCAGCCAGCAGCAGCAGCGGCGGCACCGATAAATTAATTAGTGCTATGATTAATTAGTGATGAGGAACCCCCAAAGCTGGCTTCTTCCAGATAAAGCTTAATTTATGTAGCCTCCGTCTCTGCTTGCAGATGGAAGCCTGGACACAGAGGTGGGACTGGCCCCCCTAGAGCTGTGGCAGCTGGCGCAGGGGCCTGAGGACGAGCTGCAGGATCTACAGCTCTCGGAGGAGGACTGAGCCTGCTCCTGGCCTGCAGGGCAGCCTGCTGTGTTCCCACCCTGCCAGCCACTGGCCACAGGCCTGCAGCTTCCTGGCTGGCACTGAGCCCAGAGCCCCCGAGGTCGGCACCCACGCAGGGGGAAGGACAGGTGGTGGACGGGGCTTTTATTTTTACAACATAAATGACCAGAAATTACCAAGTGCCGTGTTGATCCATGGAGTGGTAGCCTTGGGGACTGAAACTTGTACCGCGGAGCCTCCCCATTGCCGTTCCCCAGGGTGGCAGTTCCCCGTCGGGGAGGCCGACCTCTCGCCTGATGGGATGCTGAAAACCTCACAGCAGTCCCAGTTCCAGAGGGAGCCAGGGTGTATGGCCAGGGCCCCCGTGGCCTCTTGTCTTTGGTTTGGCTGCAGCTGCCCGGGTTCAAGTCCCCAAGCTGCGCTGGGCCCCACGGCCACCTCCAGAAGGTCTTTGGAGGCACGTTCCTTTCTTAAGTCACATGTTTTTCTTTTAAAAACTTTGCTTCCAAGACCAGAAGGAGAATAAGCTGTGGGGGAGGGGCCTTTGCACCGAGGGCTGGAGGTCAGAGCAGCTCACTCCCCAACTCAGCACAGAGTCTGGGGCGGGTCTGCAGGCCCTGGGAGCAGGGCCATGGTACCATTCTCATGCTTGGGTGAAGCTCGGCCAGCAGTGGGATGCACTGGGCCGTAGGGGGAGGGAGCCGTTGCTGGGGACGGGGGTTGCTCTCCCGAGGGGAGCTCCCTTTCAGGGGCCCGCAGTGTTGGTGGCTGCAGCGGCAAAGCCACGGGGACGCTAGCCATGTAGAAGACTCGGCCCAGGCGCCTGGCCACCTGTGAAGAGATGGCGTGGGCGGGGGCCTGTGCCCACAAAGAGCATGGGTGTCGCCCCTTTGGGGACCTCTGCCCGGGCACTTACCTGGGCCCGGATCTTGAGAGCAGGCCCCAGCTTCAGCCCCATGGTGGTCAGGAGGTGCTCCTCTGTCAGCAGGGGCAAGGTCTCCCCGTCTATCCCCTGTTCCCTGAAAACCTGGGGGGCGGGGCTCGTCAGGGCTGAATGCTGGGAACAGGGCCCACCCACCCTGCTCAGATCCTCCAGCCCAGCAAGAGCCAAGTCCTGGGGCGCTGGGCACCAGCCGGTGTTGAAGGCGGAGACACCGACAGCACCGAGGAGTGGGGAGCATGCCCGGTGGCCCCCACCCAGTTTGAGGGCAAGTCGGGGTTGAGGACAGGCACCGGGGGTTGGGGAGCTCAGAACCTGTGCTAGGCCGGTGCCCCGCCTCACCGGCGCATATTCTCCACAGCCAGACAGGCCCCCCACAAAGCTGCAGACGTCGTCCACTGTCCACTTGCTGACGTCCTCAGAGGCGGTGGTCTCTTCCCCATCAGTGAAGAGCCCCCCTACAGCACCTGTTGGGGAGGGGTTACTAGGCCTCTGGCCGGCTCTTTCCTAGGCCCCCAACCCTGTCTGCCCACCCCTGCCCTGATTGCTCAGAGAGGATGTATGGGGACGGAAGGGTTTTCCCTCGACACTCTAGGGGCAGTGGGTCCTCCCCCCAACCCCCGCGAAGGGATCAGAGGGACCGAGAGCGTCAGGGTGCCCACCTGTGTGGAAGTAGGGGCTGATGGCGTAGGGTAGGCCCAAGGGCAGTGGAGGGGGCAGCACAGACCCTGAGAGAAGCCCCTTCCCCTCAGAGCTGGTCCCTCCGGCCAGGGCTTGGCCCGGGGTGGGGCCCAGGCCCCCAACAGCCACCATCTCAGGGTCTTCTCCGTCTGAGTCCTTGGGGGGCTCTTCTTCAGAGCCATCATGTGCCCAGAGCCCAGTCCCTGTGGCCTCCTTGGGCTCACTGGGCCGGGTGGAGGCCGGGCTGGAACCTCCCTTCCGAGGAGCTCTGCGGGCAGGCTCCCGGGGTGGGGTGGGGGGGCCGGGGCCCGGGGGGCCCTGCGGGGGCAGGGCCAATAGCGGCGTGGAGCTGTGTCTCAGCACCAGCATGGCCCCACGCCGGGGCAGGTCCTCGGCGGCCTCGGGCGGGTGCAGGGCGGCTTCGGGTGCCAGCAGCTGTGGCCGGTTTGTACTGTCCAGCTCCTTGTGACGCAGCAGCTCTGCTGACATCTCCAGCCTGGACCAGGGAGAGCGGGTGGCGACCGTCAGCTGGCCCGGGGGTGCCACCTTCCTCCCCGCTGGTCCTGTGTCACCTACCGGGCCAGGTTCTGCTTCCGCAGGATCTCCTGCTGCCGGGCGAGCATCTCTGCTTGGACTGGGGGCAGGAAGCCATAGCCTAGAGGCAGGGGACAGACCACAAAGCCCCGTGGCGGAGTAGTCCAGGGTCACCCAAGTACCCCTCTCCCGTCTGTCCTTGGTTTCAACAAAGGCAAGGGTGGGTCTCATGGGACCACTGGGGACACAGATCAATAGGTGAACCCAGGTGGCCTGCACGCACGGGTCCCCGAGGACACAAAGGGATTGGACATCCGCTCACTCCTCACCTGGGGTCTGGCACAGAGCCGAGGGCACCCCCAAAAAGGGAGGCCTGAGGTGGGGGCCCAGGGCGATGTGCGGGGCATTCTGAGGCGACAGCAAGGGGGGCGGCTGTGACAGCTCCCTGCGGACAGCAGGGCGGTGAGCGCCGCTCCCTCCATTCTCGGAAGTGCCGCGCGCCCCCCTCCTAACCGGCGACCCCGCGGGCGGTCGATTTGCCTGCCGCTCGTTTCAGC